TTATTTGGGGAGTAGGGCTTTTATTGGGCGCACGTGTAAAAAAAAAAATCAAGCTAGGGCTTACTTTCAGAGTAGGTCGTATTTTCAGGGAAATTGTATTTTTAATGATTCAATTTTATTTGCAGGTAGTCCTACAGCCACAACAGAGCCCAAAATCCTTGTTGCTTAAGTTTTCTAAGGTACTACTATTTGACCAGGAGATGGCACTAATGTTTCTCGATTAACCCCCAAAAACTGAAAGGGTGGAACAAGACCAACTACGAAATATGAGAGGCGACCAGAAATTTCGAATTTATTGATTTTTTTTCTCACGACCTAGAAAAGCAGGAGCGTGCAAGATCCGATTGACATAACGCATCACCCGCGAGGCGAGTCCGTCTTAAGAACGATGGGCGCTGTCTTTGCTTTTCCTGCCTCCTTCTTTAGGATCGCCCCACCGGGTCCGAATCCTATCTTATTACACCCTGGAAAGACTGCTTGCCAGGCAGTTGGATGCAAGAAATTCACCTGCATTTAAGAAAAGGGGGTTTTGTCGGGACAAAGAGTCTGCTTTGTGCTTTTGGGGGGAAGCTGAGGTCAGAACAGTCCCAAGGCAAGAGGTTTCTGCAATGATTTAGAATGCAAAACAGAGCAAGGTGTAATTTAGAGTGAAAAAATAAGCGGCTGTAAATCCAGGATGACCTGTGTTCAAAAGCCTTCCTCTCACCTGGACAGGCCTGCCATCTTCTTGGCCAATCATGGTCCTCCATTCCTGCAGGGATTTTTCCAGACTATCCAGACTGGTTTCCCACAGCCTGACATTGCCCGCCATGTCCACAGTCGCCACTCCGTTCTTCCCCAGGGAAGCCAACAACGCATCCGTGTCGGAAATCGTCGCTAGCCACGATGTGTACGGAGAGAGAGTAGAGGATCTGAAAACCAACCACAGAAATTTCTTTCTAGTTTCTCTTCTGAGCTTTTTTTTTTTTTTAATTTTCAAAAATAATATTCCAAAGGTTTTTTGTTTTATGTTTTCGTTTTCAAGAGGCGAATGGACTTTTCTGGGCTTTTTTTTTTCCTTTGAAGATGTTTCGCTTCTCATCTGAGAAGCTTCCTTCGGTTCTGACTGAAGGGTGGAGGATGGAAGGATTCCTTACAGTCATCTGATCATTTGTACTCTCTCTGACAGTCGTTGAGGCCACTTGGAGGTCTATCTATATTCTCAGGGTCACCTGAGTGGTGCAAATGGGCGTGGAGCCCATTTGGACCTGCTGAAAGGACTGTGTTGTAGACAGGAGATGGGTAGTGTGGTGTCCCTCCCCCTCTGTCGAAAGAGGGCCATTCAATTTTGACCTAGATCCGTGATGGCGAACCTATGGCACGTGTGCACACAGAGCCATTTGTGCCGGCACGCGAGCTGCAGGCAAACTTACCTCACGGCGCATGCACATGCCTCACAGCTGATTTTCGGCTGGTTTGAGGCCTTTTTCGACCTCCCAAACCCTTGAGGAAAGCTTCTGCAGGCTTCTGCAGGCCGAAAACTAGCCCTGTTGTGTCACTTCCTGTTTTTTCCAAAAATACTGGAATTGACGAAACGGGCCTAGTTTTCAGCCTGCAAAGCCTGCAGAAGCCTTCCTCAAGCCTCTGGAAGGCCGAAAAAGGCCTCAAACTGGCCGAAAATCAGCTGTGAGGCGCAGTGCAGGGAAGGGGGCGGCAGGGGGCGGATTGCAGGTGCATGCGTAAGGGGCATGTGGGGGGCGTGCATTGCCTTCTGGTTGCTGGCATGCAAGCGCGAGCTTGCAAGCGCGGGCACAATTTTCGGCACAGGAGCCCAAAAAGGTTAGCCACCACTGACCTAGATGGCCTCCTTTGATCCCTCTTTCAAACCCGAAGTCCTCTCTGTCCAAAGTATCCCCTTTGCTGTCTTCAAAAGAGTGGCCTTTTGTCTTTCCAATGACCAGCTGTCTGCAAGGAGTAGAAATCCTTCCATTCCCCACCATCCGGTCAGAACGGAAGAAGCTTCCTGGATGAGAAGCGAAACGTCTTTGAGGAAAAACCAAAGAATAGAATAGAATAGAATAGAATAGCAGAGTTGGAAGGGACCTTAGAGGTCTTCTAGTCTAACCACTTGCCTGGGCAGAAAACTCTACACCACTTCAGACAAATCTTATCCAATCTCTTCTTCAAAACTCCCAGTGTTGGAGCATTCACAATTTCTGGAGGCAAGTTGTCCCACTGGCTAATTGTTCTCACTGTCAGGAAATTTCTCCTTAGTTCTAAGTTGCTTCTCTCCTTGATTAGTTTCCATCCTTATTGCTTCTTGTCCTACCTTCAAGGTGCTTTGGAGAATAGCTTGACTGCCTCTTCTTTGGGGCAGCCCCTGAGATATTGGAAGACTGCTATAGTCCAGTTGGCTCTTGGAAAAAAAAATAACCACCTTAGTGGACAACCAGCTAAATAGGAGCCGGCAGTTTGCAGCGGAAGCCAAAAAAGTCAATGCAATCCTATGTTGCATTAATGGAGGGATACAATCGAGGTCAAGGGAGGTACTAATTTAGCATTTTTAGTATTTATTTCATTTGCCAATCACTTACAAGATACATGTATAAGAATAAATATAGTTATGAATACATGGATACATATAAGAAAAATAAAAGGAACAATAGGACAGGGACGGTAGGCACGTTGGTGCGCTTATGCACGCCCCCTACAGACCTCTTAGGAAAGGGGTGAGGTCAATAGTAGACAGTCTAAGGTTAAAGTTTTTGGGGTTTGGGGAAGAAACCACAGAGTCAGGTGGAGTATTCCAAACATTGTTGCTGAAGTTGTATTTTCTGCAGTCAAGTTTGGTGCGGTTAACCTTGAGTTTGTATCTATTGTTTGCTCTTGTATTGTTATGGTTGAAGCTGAATTATTCATTGACAGGTCGGACATTGCAATGTATGATTTTATACACCATACTTAGATCGGACCGAAGGTGGCATAGTTCTAGGTTTTCTAGGTCCAGAGTTTCAAGTCTGGTGGCATAAGGTATTCTGCAACGAGTAGAGGAGCAGAGAACTCTTCTTGTGAAATATTTCTGGACTTTTTCAATTGTGTTAATATCAGATACATGATATGGGTTCCAGACAGATGAGCTGTATTCAAGTATAGGTCTAGCAAATGTTTTGTATGCTCGAGTTAGTAGTGTGCTATTACCAGAGAAGAAGCTACGTAGGATTAGATTAACAACTCTTAATGCCTTTTTGGCTATGTAGTTACAGTGGGCTTGAGCACTTAGATCATTAGAGATGAGTACTCCAAGGTCCTTTACAGAGCTTGAATCATCAACAATGTCTTGACTATTTAGCTTGTATTTTATTTTCTGATTTTTTCTGCCAATATGTAAGATAGAGCATTTATTTGTTGAGATTTGAAGTTGCCATTGGATTGACCATTCTGATACATAGTCGAGGTCTTTTTGGAAGGTATTGTCTGTGGTGTTGAATAGCTTTACATCATCAGCAAAGAGAACCACTCTATAAAGCCTTAGTAAGACCATACCTAGAGTACTACATCCACTTTTGGTAATCACACTATAAAAAGGATGTTGAGAGTCTAAAGAAAGTGCAGAGAAGAGCAACCAAGATGATTAGGGGATTGGACGGTAAAACATACAACGGTTGCAGGAACTGGGCCTGGCTAGTCTAGTGAAGAGAAGGACCAGGGGAGACAGGATATGAGTCTTCTAATATTTGAGGGGCTGCTACAAAGAGGAAGGGGTCAAGCTATTTTCCAAAGTGCCTGAAGGCCAGACAAGAAATAATGGATGGAAACTGACCAAGGAGCGATTCAACCTGGAAATAAGGAGAAATTTTCTGACAGTGAGAACAATCAACACATGGAACAGAGGTTGCCCTCGAAGTTGTGGGAGCTTCATCACTGGACACTTTCAAGAAAAGATTGGACTGCCTTCTGTCAGAAATGGTGTAGGGTCTCCCGCTTGGACGGGGGGTTGGACTAGATGATCTACAAGGTCCCTTCCAACTCTGATTGTTATCTGTTAACCATGACCTGGAGGACTGAGAATCTCTATAGACATAAAAAACAATGTTTTTTTTTCTGTAGATCCTTTTTCCTAAGGAAGTATAGTTACCTGGGAACAGGTATGTATTTAAGCTTCTTTGTTGTAAGATCTGTAATTTCCAAGTATCCAGCTGTTTGGGGAGGTGTAACATCTGCAAACAGAAAGGTGTGGAAAGATTTTATAATCCCAATTAATTACCCCCGATAAATCACATCTCTATTGGGTAACAAATTTCATTAGGTGAAGTACTGGAAATTATAGGAACAACTCAAATTATTCCTACTTAGGGTAAGGAAATAAGGCACGTAGCATCTGCAGACAGAAAGGTGTGGAGAGATTATGTAATCCTAATTAATTACCCCAATAAATCACATCTCTATTGTGTAATAAATTTCACCGTGGGGTCCTGGAAATTATAGGAATATGTCAAATTATTCCTGCAATAAGCCATGTAAGGTAAGGAAATAAGGCAGAAATATATAAACAGATAGCCCTCGACTTACAACACTTCATTTAGTGACCGTTCAAAGATACAACAGGACTGAAAAAAGTGACTTATGACCGATTTTTCACACTTACGACCATTGTGGTATTCCCATGGTCATGTGATCAAAACTCAGAATGCTTGGCGACCGGCTTGTACTTATGATGGTTTCAGTGTCCCGGGCTTATGTGATCTCATTTCAGAAGCAAAGTCAATGGGGAAGCCAGATTCACTTAACAGCCCTGTCACTAAATGAAACAACGGATGTGATTCCCTTAAGGAAAAGGTGGAAGTGGAGGAGGAGGAGGAGGACTCTGGGGTCTTGGGCGCTCTCTGAGCTTGGTACTTTTCTTGCAGACGTTTCATGACCCAACTAGGTAATATCATCTGTGTTAGAAGGGAGTGGGGTTTACAAGGTGGTGGTGGAGGGGGAGGAAGAGGAAGAGGAAGAGGAAGAGGAGGAAAAAGACTGTGGGGTCCTTGGTGCTCTCTGAGGTTGCTTGTTTTCTTGCAGATGTTTCATGACCCAGCTAGGTAACATCATCAGTGCTAGTAAGGAGTGTTGTTTGCTGTCAGTTTGT